AACCTAAACCCTAAACCCATGCTCAGTTGAACGAGGTGTGCTGGTCTCGATGCTGGTTCTGATGTGCCTCTACTTTGCTCTGCACGTGATCGCGCAGGTGCACCGTGTGCGGGGACCGCAAACTCGAGACCCTACACAAGACCGTACAGCCCACATACTAGTTCAAATCCCAGATGCTAGACCCTAAACCCTAAACCCTAAACCCCTAATAGCCTATTTAACCCTCAACCCCTATAAACACTAAACTTTTAAACTCTGAACCTTGTGAACCATATCTTTAACCCCCGTACTTTTATGTAGGGTCCCTATAAATTCCCATATTCGGGTTTATAATCAGAAACCTACACAAAAAAAGGGCTTTGGTAGGTTAAGGCAGTCCCCAAACTATTTCATAATAGGGTTTATTATCAGAAGCCTACCGAAAAAAAGAGGGTTTTGGTAGGTTAAGGCAGTCCCTAAACCCTAAACCCTAAATCCTAAACCCTGCAAGCCCTAAACCCTAAACCCTAAACCGTTTCGAGCTTCCGCCTCCCGGAAGGTGATGCGCAAAGCTTCGAAAGACATGCAGGAGGAGGCTGGGAGCTTTAATCTAGGGGCCTCAATAATAGGGTTTAGGGTTTAGGGTGTTAGAGTTTAGGGTTTAGGGCTTTAGGGTTTGAGGGTTTAGGGCTCAGGGTTTAGGCCTCAATAATTACTTATATCATTTTGGGGGGGCTCCTTAGTATAATTCTAGCATAATGGGCCCCAAAACCCAATTCTAATTCTTAAGGCCCCTACATTCTACTACGTAGGTTCCCCAGCAGTACCCTGTTGCACCGCTTTTTTTGAGAGGGGAGGAGAGAGGTTCCCTTTTTCCCCAAACAGTAAGACAAAAGGTATCCTTATTGTCTAGGGGCTACTGGACAACCTAGTTTAGGGTCCAAACGCGTTCTGTCAAGATTCGATAAGGCTGCCGTATCGGCTTTCTAAAACCCTAAACCCTAAACCCAGTTTAGGGACGCCGGGTGAAACGGCTGAGGAGTTGGTTGAAGTTTTCGAGTTTAGGGTTTCATGCATTGATTCAAAGGGAAGCTTCAGGCATTTCGGATTTCGGTCTTTTGTGGTTTAGGTTTTAGGGCTGTAGTTATACCTAATAAGGAACCCACCCCCCAAAATAGTATTCGTAATTGTTTAGGTCCCTATATTACACCTCTAAACGCGTGTAATGCACAACCCGAAGCCCCCCAAAACCCAAAATAGCTCCGACCCAGGACGAAGAGTCGGCGACCGCAGATTTCTTCCGACGTCAGTCAACTGAGGCGGCTCGTTTGGGGTCGTCCTGGAACGTGATTTAGGGGGGGGGGTTGAGGTTTCGATTTTTTTTCGGGTGGAGGGGACGGGGGGAGGGTTTAAGGGTTATTTAAGCAGATGTCCTTTAAGGGTTCCATCGGGGTTCTACAAGGGGTCTTTGGGGGCTTGGGGTTTGAGAATTAGGGCCCTGGGTGCCGGATAGGGTGGGTTTCTTGCAATAATATCCCTTTAATTCAGGAAAACACCTTGCATTAGAGTTGGATCCCTACTATGAGTTTAAGGCATACTCCTACGGTTGATGATATAAATCCTGCATTACCCATAATAAGGAATATGCCACAATTCC